AAGCACCCCTGAGAACGCAGACATACAACCCAGGCGCGGTGGCGGGATGGGCCGCGGCCAATCGATCAATATATATATATATATATATATATATATACAAGACTGCAGTGGCGCTTCGCGCCATGCACCTTGGTCCTTGAAGTTTGGTATGCAGGCGGAGTGGCAGGAAGGTCAAGCCGACAATTTAGCGATAACTCCTGGTTGCCTTTTCCGGCATCGCCGCTATACTGATGTTGTTTCGTTTTCCTTCCTCCATGCTTATTGTTCCTTATTTTCGCCATACCCTGCGCATTCTCGCCATCCTCCTCAGCTCTTTTTTGCGGAGGCTCCTCCTTGAAGAGCCTCTAGGGGCCTCACAAAAGTTGTTTCGGGCTTTCTTAAGGCCTTCTGGAGGCCTCCTGGGCGTATTCTGGGGGCCTCCGGGGGCTTCCTCGGGCCACCCTGCCTCCAACCGCCGTCTCCCTGAACGACCGAATCACGATTTGGAATTCTTCGGAGGGCGTCTTTGGCCCATCTTGGGCCGCCATGGGGCTCTCTGAGGGCCATCTTGGACCCGTGTTGTGCCGTTTTGGGGCTCTCTTGGACTGCCTGGAAGCCCTTTCGGATGGTTGTGGGGCGATTTGGGAGCCTCCCAGGCGGTTTCGGACGCCCAGAAGACCGCCGTCTTGGAGCATCGGGATGCCGAAAAGAGAAGAACCCCCAAATTCACCAACAACCCGCGGAAAACCAATATTTTTTTCCTCGGGGGGCCTTCTTGGGAGTGCTCTTGGAGGCCTCTTTGGAGCCGTCTTGGAGGCCTCTTGTACCATCTTGCGGTCACGTCGGTCACTCTTGGAGCGCTCTTGTGCTGTCTTGGGGGTCTCTGGGACGTCTCCGATGACCCCCCTGATCGCCCTAAGTGTGCTGGGAAGGCTTGGCAAAACGCCTTGCGAGGCCCGGTGGCCGCTTCGAGGCCCGTCCGGAGGGCCCCAAAGCCCCAGGTCCCGGGAGTCCGGTTTTTTTTTGGGGGGGTGACGGGTTTTCCCCCCGCCAGGGCTTATACAAATATAGGAAGTGGAATATGGATAATCTATACACACAGTTACATCGCTCTCTCTCTCTCTCTCGATTTGTTTTTATATATATATATATATAGATATGGCGATGCGTATGTGTATATATATACACATATGTACATGTATAAGATTGTGCGTGGGTGCGCCGCGACGCCGCGCGAGTGGCCGCGACGCTTCTACATGGTCGCGACGCCTTTTACTGTCCAGCGAAATTCAGTGAACTTATATACAGGCTGCGACGCGCGCGTGGCCTCCTGTATACATGTGCTCTGGGAATTTCCTCGCCGCGACGCCGCACGCGTGGCCGCGACGACAAACAAGCGCGTGTGTATGTGTGTATTCATATTCCAGCTCAGCTGTAGGTTGCGTGTAAGCACTGGTTGTGGATTCCCTCGGCGCGTCTCGTCAGAGTGCTCCTTTTTCCCACGTGGCGGCACTACGGGTGCTCCGCCGCGCTCGCGCGAGAAACGGTCGCGGGAGGGCCTGCGGGGCACGGCGCCATCGGCTGGGCTTGCCTGTGGTCACGAGCGCCGGACTCATCCATATCCACGTCCTCGCGGTCTGGACCCCGGGGCGCGATACCGTGGATACGCAATCGCACGCATACGTCCTGCGCGGGGCATCCGCGATCAAAACGCCCCATGTCCACGGGATCGCGGCCCAGAGTCCCAGCCCGTGAGGCCACGGATGCGGATGTTTTCCGCCCGCGATGTGGGGAGGAGGCGTGAACATGGAGAAGTGAGCTCGAGGTCTGGGCGTCCCATCTGTCCCCCCAGGTAGCGTCTCGCCGGAGGGTTCGAAACATGGTTGTCCCAACCCTCCCCTGTTGGTTTTAGTTTTGAGCAGAGCACTGCTCGGGCGTCTCCTTCTCACCCCCTCCACCATCTACCTCTTCCTCTTCCTGCAAGACCTGCATCTTGTGCATCCTCTTGGGAGCTGCGAGCTGCGGCTCCTGAGAGGTCCAGCGGTGTGGAGTTCTGCGCGCATCCAGCCGAGACCTCGCGACTCTGTCTGACTGCGAACTGTGCAGCTGTCACCACTTTCGTAGACTCCTGGGAGGTCCAGCGAAGTGGAGTTGTATGCGCATCCAGCCGAGACCTCGCGGCTCACTGGTTGGCTTCGAACTGCGCAGCTGTCGCCTCTTCCATGGGCTTCTGGAAGGTCCAGCGGATTGGACTTGTACTCGCAACGGAGACCCCGCGGCTCCCAGGGTGGCTGCGAGCGACGAAATTGTCGCCACTTTCGTGGGCTCCTGGGAGGTTCAGCGGAGTAGAGTTGTACGCGCAAACAACTTCGAGACCCCGCAGCTCCATTGTAGGGCTGCGAACTGCGCAGCCGTCGACACTTTCGTAAGCTCCTGGGAGGTCCAACGGAGTGGAATTGTACGCGCATCCAGCCGAGACCACGCGGCTCCCTGGTTGGCTGCAAACTGCGCATTTGTCGCCACTTCCGTGGGCTCGTGGGGGGGCACGGCAGAGGCTAGGGAAGCACAGTTCACTTCGAGACCTCGCGCCTCCCTCGGGGGCTGCGAACTGCGCAGCCGTCGCAACTTTCGTGGGAGGAGCGTCGGAGACGAGGACACGCCGGACTACTTCGAGACCGCGCAGCTCCCTCGGGGGCTGCGAACTGCGAAGCTGCCGCCACTCCTGTGGGCTCCTGGGAGGGACGAGGGAAGCGCAGACTACTTCGAGACCTCGCTGCTGCCCCAGGGGCTGCGAACAGCGCAACTGCCGCCACTCCCGTAGGCTCCAGAGAGGCACGGCGGAGGTGAGGGAAGCGCAGACTACTCCGAGAGCTCGCGGCTCCCTCGAGGGCTGCGAACTGCGCATGTGTCGCCACTTTCGTGGGCTCCTGGGGGGCACGGCGGAGGTGAGGACAGCGCCGATCACTTGGAGACCTCGCGGCTCCCCCGGGGGCTGCGAGCTGCGCAGCTGCCGCCACTTTCGTGGGCTCCGGGGGGGGGGCACGGCGGAATGCAGGGAAGCGCAGGCCATGCCTATCTCGCGATGTGTTCTTTGGTATGTCCTCCCTCTTTCCTCCTCTTCCCCCTCCTCCTCATCCTCTCTCCTCCTGCCTCCTTGCCTCCTCGCTTTCCTTGCTCGCATCTTTCCTAGCAGGGAGCCGCGAACTGCGCAGCTGTCGCCACTTTCGTGGGTTCCTGGGGGGCACGGCGGATGTGACGGCCACGCAGGCACTATCGAGAGCTCGCGGCTCCCTCGGGGGCTGCGAACTGCGCATGTGTCGCCAATTTCGTGGGCTCCTGGGAGGCACGGCGGAGGTGAGGGCCATGCAGATCCATTCGAGACCGCGCAGCTCCCTCGGGGGCTGCGAACTGTGGAGCTGCCGCCGCTGTCGTGGGCTCCTGGGAGGCACGGCGGAGGTGAGAGCCACGCGGATCCAGCCGAGACCTCGCGGCTCCCTTAGGGGCTACGAAGTGCGATGCTATCGCCACTTTCGTTGGCTCCTGCGTGGCCCGACGGAGTGTGGGGTCACGCCGCGCGCGCTTATCTCGCGCGCGCGCATGGAGCGTTCGTATCGTTGTTGGCCTCGCGTGGAGAAGGAGGGGGGTGAATCTCGTGCTTGTCCCAAACCTTCTGTGTTGGGTTCTCGTTTTGATTAGAACACTGTGGTCTACATCCTCATTTGTATCCCTCCTAATCCTCCTGCCTCCTCCTCCTCCTCCTCCTGCCTCCTTGCCCCCCTCGCTCGTACCTTTTTTACCGGGGGGCGGATCCAACCGAGACCCCACGGCTCCCTGGGTGGCTGCGAACCGCGAAACTGTCGCCACTTTCAGGGGCTCATGGGAGGTCCAACGGAGTGGAGTTGTACGCGGATCCAGACGAGACCTCGCGGCTCCCTGGAAGCTGTGAACTGTGCAGCTGTCGCCAGTTCTGTGGACTCCTGGGAGGTCCAGCGGAGTGGAGTTGTACGCGGGCACAGCCAAGACCTCGCGGCTCCCTGGGGGGCTACGAACTGCGCAACCGTCGCCACTGTCGTGAGCTTCTGGGATGTCGAGCGGACTGGAGTTGTACGCGTATCCAGCCGAGACCTCGCAACTCCCCCGGGGCTGCGAATTGAATTGGACAACTGTGGCCATGTTCGTGAGCTCCTGGAAGATTCTGCGGAGTGGAGCTGTGTGCGGATCCAGCCGAGACCCCGCGGCTCCCTGGGGGGGCTTTGAACTGCGAAACCGTCGCCACTTTCGTGGGCTCCTGGGAGGTTCAGCGGAAAGGAATTGTACGCGGGTTCAACCGAGACCTCGCGGCTCCCTGTTCGGCTGCGTGCTGCGCAACCGTGACCACTTTCGTGGGCTCCTGGGAGGTCCAGCGGAATGGAGTTGTACGCGAATCCAGCCGAGACCTCGTGGCTCCTTCGGCGGCTGCGAGCTACGCGACAATCGCCACTTTCGTAGGCTCTTGGGAGACTCCGCGACTCCGCCGTGCCTCCCAGGAGCCCACGAAAGTGGCAACAGTTGCGCACCCCGCACCCACACAGGGAGCAGCGCAGGATGAGGCAGGAGGAGAGGGGGAGGCGAAGGAGAAGTAGGAGTCGCGACTGCGGCGCTCTCTTCAAAACAAGAACCCAGCACAGGAAGGTTGGGGAACAAATGCCCTGCGACGTACCGAATACGCTGTTCTGAACCTGTGGCGTTTATACCAACGACCGCCCATTACGAACGAATAGTTTGAAAGACCCGCCGTGCGCAGGAGCACACATTGCGCACGCCCCCCCCCCAAGGAGCCGCGAGGACTCGGTTGGGTCTACGTGGCCCTCTACTCCACTGGACCTCCCAAGAGCCCACGACAACGGCGACAATCGCGCACGTCGCAGCTCCCCAGCCGGCCCTTCGCAATCCTCCAAGAGGCAACAAGGTCTCGACTGGGTCTGCGTGGCCGTCCTCTCCGCTGGACATCCCAAGAACCCACGGCAATGGCGACAGATGCGCACTTCGCAACCCCCCGGGGAGCCGCGAAGTCTCGACTGGATCTGCGTGGCCCTCAACTCCGCTGGATCTCCCACGAGGCTACGAAAGTGGCGACAATTGCACAATTCGCAGCCCCCCAAGGAGCCGCAAGGTCTCGGCCGGGTTTGTGTGTTCCTAAACTCAGCTGGATCTCCCAGGAGCCCACGGAAATGGCAACACTGGCGCACTTCGCAACCCACCAAGGAGCCGCGATGTCATGGCTGGGTCTCCTTGGCCCTCCATTCCGTTGGACCTCCCAGGAGCCCACGACCACTGGCAACAAATGCGCACTTCGCAACCCTCCAGGGAGCCTCGGAATCTCGGCCGGGTCTGCGTGGCCCTCCACTCCGCTGGACACACCAGATGCCCACGAACGTGGCGACAAGTGCACACTTCGCAGACCTCCAGGGAGCCGCGAGAGGGGAGGGGTGACGAGGAAGCGGAGGAGGCGGAGGAGGAGGAGGAGGAGGCGGAGGAGGAGGAGGACAAGAAGAAGGAGGAGGAGGACGATGCGGGAAGGAGGAGTGGAGACCACAGTGCTCTGTTCAAGACGACAGTCCAACACAGGAGGGTTGGGGCACAACGCACAGCCGAGTCCCACAAAGGGGGCGGGGACCCCGACACCACCCCCGTAGATCGTGTGGTCCGACGGCCGTTTCGCCTGAGACTTCCTCACACTTTATTCAGGAATCGCGCTCTCGTCTCAATGACAACTAGATGCTTGGTCCAAACGGCCAGGATGGGTTGTAACAGCATCCGCCAAAGTGATTTTCGCACGTGGAGGCGTTGAATAATGCCAAGGGCTGTCTGCAATGGCTCCTGTATTCTGATAAGGCCCCCCCCCCGCCCGTACCAGCATCTTCCCGTATGCACCGCACTAACTCCCGAAGCTACGATCTCTCGTACCTGCCAGAGGCGTACCCAACCCCTTCTCCACGCGAAGCGACACTTTATATGAACACTCCATACAACAGGACACGGAACCTACTCCGCTCGACCCCCCGATAACCCATGACCTTGGCGACAATTCCGCACGCCGCAGCCCACTAGGGAGCCGCGACGTGTCGGCCAGGTCTGCGTGGCCCTCCGCCCTCGCTGGACACACCAGAAGCCCACGAACGTGGCGACAAGTGCACACTTCGCAGCCCTCGAGGGAGCCGTGGGGTCTCGACTGCTTACCGCTGCCTCCGCTGGACCTTCCAGGAGCCCAGCGAAAGTAGCGACACATTATGCGGAGTTGGCAGCCTCCCAGGAAGCAGAGAAGTCTCGCCTACCCATGGCACCCGCTGAACCTCCCAAGAACCCGCAGTTGGCAGCCCTGCAGGGAGCCGGGAGTTCTCGCCTGCCCACCGCCTCCGCTGAACCGCCCGAACGCCCGCACCGCAGCTGGCAGCCTCCCAGGGAACCGCGAGGTCTCGCCTGCCCACCGGAGCCCACGCGAGTGAGAAGTGCGCACTCCGCAGCTCCCCAGGGAGCCGCGAGGTCTCGCCCGACTACCGCCCCCGCTGCACCCCCGCACGGAAGCCCACGGAAGTGGCGACGCGTGCGCAGTTGACGGCCTCCCACGGAGCCGCGGGGTCGCGCCTGCCCACCGCATCCGCTGGACCTCCCGCGAACCAGCAGCTGGCTGCCTGCCAGGGGCAGCCGCGAGGTCTCGTCTGCCCACCGCCTCCGCTGGACCTTCGGGGACCCACGGACGTAGCAGGAGGAGACGGGAGGAGGAAGCAGGAGGCAGGAGGAGAAGGGAGGAGGGAGGAGGATGAGGAAGACGAGCGCGCCATGCTCGACTCAACACGAGAACCCAACATTGACAAAAACCATGGATCCGCGCTCCCGAGGCCACGATCCCTGGTTGAAAGCAATGGATCCGCGTTCCAAGCTTTCAAGACGGCCCATGCAGGCAACGAAGGACACCAAGATGGCCCAAGATGCCTTGAGGACGGCCCGAGATGGTCCCAAGGCGGCCGAATATAGCTTCAATACGGTCCATCATGCCTCCAAGGGAGCCACAAGAGGACCTCCAACAAGGTACGTAGAAACCAACATCATCTATTTCCGTTAGGTTTGTGAGTGGTGCTTGCATTCCCGCATTTCCGGGCTTCCGTCAGCCTCCACGATGACCACAACACGGCCTAAGAGGCCCCCAAGAGGGTCCCAAGATGGCCCCAGAGGACCCCACGATGGCCTAAGAGGCATCCAAGACGGCCCAAAGACGGCCCAAGCGGGCCTCCCGCGGGACTCAAGACGGCCTTAGGAAGTCCTTCGACGGCCCAAGACGGCGCCAAGACGACCCCACGACGGCCCCCAGACACCATCCATACGGCCAAGATGGCCCCAAACCAGCCCAAGAGAGCCCCAAGACGGCGCCAAAGGGCTCAAAGGAACGCTCAAGACTGCCTCACGGGAGGCCAAGACAGCGCAAAGACGGCCCAAACGAGTTTCACGAGAGCGCCTCTAGTAGTGAAGACAGCAGGTCTCACATGTGACGGCTTTCCTCCTCCTCCTACTTCTTCTCCTCCTCCTCCTTCTCCTCCCCCTCCTGCCCCTCCTCAGCAGCAGCAGCAGCAGCAGCAGCAGCAGCAGCATCACCCCCATCATCCTCATAATCCTCGCCACGTATCTACCAAGCCTGGAGACACGACACGAAATGACAAACGCGACGGCCTCCTGTGCCCTCTTGAACAATCGCCGCTGAAACTGTTGGGCTGGCACGGTGGCGGCACTTGCCACAAGCAGCTGGATCCGCCGCCCCCTGCTTGCAGGGGTGCACGGCGTGCTGGATGAGCTGTCAGGTTTTGGTTCTTTTTCCAAAAGAACTCCCCAGTGGGCTCCGGCAGAACCCGCCGGCCACCCGGAAAATCCCCAAACGTGCTCAACGACCGGAAAAAATCCTCCAAAAAACGGCCGTTTCGCTCGGGACATCCTCAAAACATCGCGAAGATGGCCCAAGATGGCCTCCAAGTCCGCCCGAGATGGTCCAAGACGGCCTCCAAAACGGCCCAAGAGAGTCCAAGACGGCCCAAGACGGCCCAAGAGGCCCCCCAGAGGCCTCCCAGACGGCCCAAGAGGCCTCCAAGAGGTCCTCCAGGAGAGTCCGAAGAGGCCAAAATCATTGATTTTCCCTTGGTTTTTGAAGGATTTTGACATTTGCGCCTTTTCGGCTCTCCGACGGCTCAAGACGGCCCAAGAAGCCCCCAAGATCGCCCAAGAGGGCCCCCAAGAGAGCCCCATGATGATGGCCCAAGTGGCCTCCAAGATGGCCCCTAGAGGGCCCCAAGACGGCCCAAGAGGCCTCCAACACGCCCAAGATGGCCTCCAAGACGCCCAAGATGGCCTCCAAGACGGCCCTGGAGCGCCCCAAGAGGGTCCCCCGTTGGCCCAGAAAGGCCCCCAAAACGGCTCCCGACGGCGTCAGACGTGCCAGGAACCCACCAAGATGGCCGAAGTTGGCTCGAAGCTGGCCCAAAAGGGCCCAAGAGGCCCCCAAGAGGGCCTCCAGGAAGGCCAAAAGATGCCAAAATCACTGATTTTCCCAAGGTTTTTGATGGATTTGGGCATTTCCCTTTTTTCGGCCTTCCGACGGCCCGAGACGGCCCAAGAGCCCCCAAAGATCGCCGAAAGATCGCCCAAGAGGCCTCCAAGACGGCGACGATGACCATCAAGACGCCCACGTGTTCCCCGAAGGCTTTCCAAACCGATTCGGGGAACACATGGTCCGATGGCTTGGCAGGTCTGGCCTCAACGTTCGGCCACATAGGCGCTTCCACAAAGGCAGGGGGCGGCGGTGATTCGCCGTAGGCGTCTTCGATACACTACGGTGCGCATGGCCGTACTATCTCCCGTCCCGGCTGCAACTTTCCCGGGAATCCCTCGGAATACCTAGGAATGGCCGACCTCCTACTCCTCGACCCGCCTTTTCGCCTTTGCTGCTATTCGGGTGCCTTACACTGGTGATCACACCAATCGTTTGTTTTCGCCCAGCTTGGGGCCGCGCGACCATCACTCATCGATCCGACTCGAACAGAAAGCTGCGGGAAGACTGGGTGTAGGGCTCCGGTTGTGATTTCTCGCGATCTTGTTTTTCGCAACGACGGAACTCAGGGGAAGTGGGAGGGAACAGGGTAGAGGAGGGCGCAGGGAGAAGGAGAGAGGGGGGAGGAGCGAGGAGGCGGAGGGAAGGGAGTGAGGCCGAGCGGCTCCCCGAAAAGCTCCATCCTGGAGGAAAACCAGAAAGAGGGGAAGGAGAAGGGAGGAGGCGCAAGATGAGTAGACAAGCGCGTTCCACTACTCGCACAGTAGCCACTCGCAAGTGGCCTGGATACGCCGCGGAGGATCTACGATATATTACACAAAGGCAGACGCATGGTTTTCTGGGCGTTTGCGAGTAAGGCACTGCGCGAGTAGCGGAACGCGCTAGGTGAATGAGGGGGAAGAGGGTGAGGGGCCAGCGTGCCCGGAAAGGAGCCAGGGTGGTGCACCCAAGCTCTCCGAAGGCACGTGCACGCGCGGCATCCGCGAGCGCGGGCGCCGCGTTGGCCCGCTCGCAGCCGCCAGATGCTACGCTCGACTGCCACGCGGCAAGCTACGGCCCGGGGCGAGCTGGTCGCTGCCTGTCCTCAGCGGGGCGTGGAGCCCAGGGCTGGGGGCGTGCCGCCGGCGGAGCCCTGGTACGGTGGCGTGGCGGTCTGGTTCGGTGGCGTGCCACTGGAGGAGCCCTCCTTGGAGGAGCTCGAGACGCTGGAGGGCAGCAGCTCGGCCCTGTGGTCGGTGACGTACTTCACGAACACGTCGAGGGGGATGCCCGCAGCCTTCGACAGATTGGCTCCGGAGTACATCCTCCTGATGTGGGCGTCCCGCATGTACGCAGGCAAGAAAGGCGTCAGTGCCTTGAAGGCGCCCGCAATCTCGTCGCCTGTCAGGGTACCTTGCTGCTCCTCGTCGAACATCATGAAAATGAACCGCAGCTTGTCTTCATCGGCCGACATAGAATAGAGAGCAAGTCCTACCACAAAAATGCGAAGATCCAGCTCACCCATCACATCGACGTCGAAGATATCGAAGGCTTCTTTCATGGCCTCGGTTCGCGGCCTGTCAACCACAAGGCAGAATGCTTCGAACGAGATGAAGCCTGAATCCTGCGTGTCCATCTGTATACACTTCTGGTAGATGTCCTTGATGATGTCGGGCTGAAGGCGTCGGTTCCCCATGATCTGCGCGACGGCCATGCCACGTTTGTCGATGTGTTCCTGTCTGGAGCCAGAGGAGCCACCCGTGGTCCCAGTTCCAACGTCCGAAGTCCCGTCAGCTTTCGAGGACTCCTTCCGGTTCAGGTCGAAGTTGCGAAACAGCAGCGGGGGATCGGTAAAGCCCTTGCGGAACGGCAGAAACCTGACCTTCCAGCTGCCCTCGGGGTCCAGCATGCGGACCATCTCCAGGACCTCACTGTTTGTGGGCTCGCTCTCGCCGCAGAGGTCCAGCACGCGGCGGAGGTCCCTCTCGTCGAGGACCCCGTGGTTGTCCAGGTCCATCATCGCAAACGCGTTATCCAATTCCTGGAAGAAACACATCTGCATGAACATCAGCGTTTGGGGGCCACGCGGACGTCTTAGATCGGCCCTGCACCTCCCTCCCTGGCGCGAGGAGCGCGCTAGGGGCAGCGCCTGAGGCGCTGACAGGGGGCGCCCAACGCCGATACGAGAAATCCGCGCGGAGCTAGGGCACGTTCCCCAAACAGTGCTTGCGCTCAAGGATTCTCACTTGGCCTTGTAAGAGGCCCCGGTGCGGCCCCTCCCGGGCGCGCGGGCGGGCGGGCCCCGACGGGCAGGCCGGGCGGAGCGGAGCTGGTCGGGCGGGCGGGCCCTCGCGGGCTGGCTCCTCCTCCTCCTCCTCCTCCTCCTCCTCCTCGCCCTCCTCCTCCTCCTCCTCCTCCTCCTCCTCCTCCCTCCTCCTCCTCCTCCTCCCTCCTCCTCCTCCTCCTCCTCCTCCTCCTCCTCCTCCTCCTCCTCCCCTCCTCCTCCTCCTCCTCCTCCTCCTCCTCCTCCTCCTCCTCCTCCTCCTCCTCATCCTCCTCCTCCTCCTCCCTCCCTCCTCCTCCTCCTCCTCCTCTCCTCCTCCTCCTCCTCCCTCCTCCTCCTCCTCCTCCTCCTCCTCCTCTCCTCCTCCTCCTCCTCCTCCTCCTCCTCCGCCTCCTCCTCCTCCTCCTCCTCCTCCTCCTCCTCCTCCTCCTCCTCCTCCTCCTCCTCCTCCTCCTCCTCCTCCTCCTCCTTCTCCCTCCTCCTCTTCCTCACCGGGGCCGTGTGCGGCCATGGTGGCCCCTCTTCCCGTCCGTCGCTGCACCGTTTTTCAAGCCAAACCGTGTGCGGGCCCGGCGGCCCCGTTCCCGCCCGTCGTCGCCGCCCCGGTGCACCCTCCCGCCCGGCGTGCTGCAATCGCAACGCGTTGCAGTCGCAGCGCATGTCACTCGCAGCGCGCTGCTTGCGATCGATTTGCACTGCTTTGCAGCGCATCCCGGTGCTTTACGTCACGCTGCTCTACACTGCTTTGCCTGGCTTTTCGTTGCTTTGCATTGCTTTGAATGGTTTCGCATTGCTGTGCATTGTGTTGCACTGCGTTGCATTGCTCTGCGCCACATAATTTGCACCACATCGCTTGCGCCACCTAGACAGCACCACATTGACTGCACCACGTAGACGGCACCGCGTAGATTGCAAGAAATCGCTGTGCTGGATCCGCACAGGCCAACGTATGTTGATGCAACGTGTTGTGATTCGCACTCCGAGCTCCTGCTCCGTGTACACCCGGTTCTGCAGCCCGGGTATCATGAACGGCCTGTCAGCTGGATACTCCGACGGCTTTGCGGGCAGCGTGGGCGCCGCCGCGACCGAGGACCTGGTCCCCGGAGCGGCCACGCCTGCCGACCGCACGCAGGGAGTGACCCGAGGCAAGAGTGGCCTCCCCAGACCCCCTCGCGTCGTGAACCATCACGACGGACGGTTCTCTTGCAATTCTGGACCTCTGGGGGCCTTTGCTGGGCACCAGGGCCGTCAAAAACAGACTCAGGATGAGAAGCCCATCCCTGGGAAGGGGTCCAGACCTCTGGGGATCCACGTCATGAGAAACACGACGTCGTTGGTCTGGGATCCGACCTTGCGGGCCAACGTTGGGGGTGCCCCTGTGTGCCCGCACCAGAAAGTCCGGCGAAGGGTCACTCTCCAGACATCTGCCGATATGACTTTTTCACTCCGCGGCTTTACAAGTCTTGCCGCTTCCATGGGGTCAATTTCTCGCCTCCGATCCACTTCTTGGGCCCGAAGACGGGCCCCATGGGGCCGAAATATAGGAATAAACATAGATGGGCGAACATCAGATGTTCGGACACCTGAGCACTCTTACAAGGATGACCGCGGGGGATGCTAAAGGGATCGGGTTTGAGTGGATGCGCAAGTACGTTATGTCTGGCCTGATTTAGCTTTTGAGCGGGC